CCCTTTGAAAAAACACCACATAATTACTCAAACAAAACAAAGTTTGGTGTGGAAACACAAAATAACAAAGCAAAGAGGGAACAGCCTATACTTACCCAAGAGGAATATTGAAAATCTAAATGCTTTAACTCCAAGGTTAACTCCAATAGGAGGGGAGATGAAACACTGAATGATGCTTTAATGTCACACAATGGTGAGATAATGAGGGGAGCTGAGTTAAACTGGACTCTTCAATCTAATCGAGTTTCTTTGCATATTCCCTTTAACAAACTCCACAGGGCTCGTTAGGGTGTTAAAAGGGCCATTGTTTCATCATTAAGCCAACGTCTTTGTTATCGACATAACACAATTGATCTTTTGGTGGTGGAATGGCTTTGTAGTGAAACAGGTCACAAGAGAATTTTACTGACATTTAAAAATCCCACCATCCTGAACGTGCTCTTCAAAATGAAACCCTTTCTGAGCATTTTTCAAATATTACCATTGTGTGTGTTCCATGATGGCAAAATATGCCCACTTTTTCTATTATCCAGTCACCTTCTTTTAGCAATAGGAATTAAATTTTCAATTTTCAATTCAATTTTCAATTATCCAGTCAACTTCTTTTAGCAATAGGAATAACCTACTCAGTACAAGTAATCTTGAGAACTCTTTAACCAAGTACGACTCTGATAAACACCCAGAGACAAACTCAGAGAGTGGGAATAAAAATGAACCTCTAGAAGCAAATTTGATTAACTCTTTCATAGGACTGCCAAATTGTGAATAGAATGAAATATTTTTAATAGTAATTTTATTAAAAATTACAAAGATAAAAACTAATACAAACTAAAGAAATATAAAAGAATAAAAAGAAAAATGGAAAGTGCAGAAAAGAAAAAAAAATAAAACAGAATGAAATATTGAGAAAGTTAGAGTTTCTTAAACAGACCCTCCTGGCAATGTGAACTGCAGCAAAACCTCTGATTGATTTAGTAACACCATCCCCTAAAAGAGGTTTTGATAACCATAATGCATATTCCTCTGATTCATCCTAACCCAGTGAGAGACACAGTGCAGAAAAATAAACCAAGGGAAACTGGCGTGTTCCTCCCAGCAGAAAAAAACAAGCTGATTGGGCTACACACAAAGTGTGATATTCTGGATATTTCCATCCTAGTCATAACAGGGCCTGAGTCATGTTGTACCACCTTTTTACCCCACATCTTACAGCCCCATCTAATGGAGGACAATTTCTGATGATGTCAACAAAGAAAAACTTTAGGACATTGGCTTCCCATAAGGCTGCAAAGAATTCCGCATCTCTGCTCCCTGGGCAAACCCAACTAGACTCTAGGACAAACACCAACAGGCCTAAGAAGGGACATGAGAGCCTTGGCCCATTTCTGTAAAGAACATTCATTACAGATCAATTATGAAAAAAAACATTCATGGATTTTGCAAGGGATTTTAAAAAATTGTATTGGACATAATACAGGAATAAAATGTACAGTAGCAGGTTCCCAGCTTTAAATACTTGGGCTTTTGCTGTCCTGCCCTGGGAAGTATTACACTGTTGGGTTGCTTCAAATGTCCAGAGGAGGTCAGCAGCAATTCTTTCTTTCTTCTTCTCCAGAGGTGCTCAATATATACCAGCTGCCCTCAAACTTTTTGAAATCAAGATATTATCCCAGCTGCTGTACAGAGCCCAATTAATCCCAGGAATTAATTATCAGAACTTAGAAAGGATACAGTCCAAATTCCTAAGAAAGCTATTCTAAATGGTGAAATGTGTGCCTAATTCTGCCCTGTGGCTGGAGGCAGGACTTACAAAAGTTGAAACAAGGGCATGGCTATATGTGTTTAAATACTGATTAAAAGTTCATTCCTAACCTCAAGGTCTAACACAGCTAACATCAATAAATACTGTATGATTCCTCCTAGAAACTCCAAATTGAGAAAAAAATAATTAATTGGGTTTTTCAAGGGAGATACTCATGCCCATGGGACAATATGCTTAAGAAAAGGATCCTTTATATAGAATTACAGTCAGAATATAGTAAGCTGTTGCCTAGGGTACAATTGGACCACAGCAATGCACACTTCAGAACAGCATTGTACCTAGATCACCTCACAAACAATACATTTCAGCAAGCATTTACGTTACTATGGTTCAATATTATATCATCAGCAGAGCTAGAGGGAAAATTTCATAAAATTCCATATGCGGAAAGTCTCTGCCCCTGTAAAGATGGTAATATTAAAACACAAACTCGTATTCTATTATATTGCAATTTCTATTGGGACATATGCAAAGAGCTCCTAATGCCTCTCCTAATTCCATTTCTGGGACAGACTGAAGAATGTTATGAGCAATTTTTACTAGCAGATAAGGACCCCAAGGTAACTCTTACTAAAACTCATATAATTCTGATAGCAAAATAGTGCAAGTATGACTGTATATTTTTTATTTTGTATGCCTTATTTTATTTTCTATGTTCCATTTTGTAGCTCTGCTCTGTAGGTGTTATTTAGTAAGTTTCATTTAGCCTGGGTCATTGTCCTGTAATAAAGAATTTGAACATTTGAGCTTCCACCTCTTTAGGAATGTTGCCTATAATTTTTAAGACAAGCTATAATATCTTAAAATAATCTCTCTGAAATTTGTATTTGAATTATAGTACTTCTGTGAACACCCTCAAATCCTGCTGTGCTGCCACATTGTGGTGGTGGTCCTGAGAAGGATGAGCAAAGAATGCCAGGAGTAGATGACCACAGTATATTCCCAGCAGGGTCACTTGAGGTGTGAAGGTCCTCCCAGCGGCCCAGTTAAAGCATATGTTGGGCAGCTGTGATATAGGAAGATTCTCAAGGCAGACAATCACTTTAGCAAAGGCATCATTTCATACCACATAGGAGAAGGCAAGGTTAAACTACTGTGTATTACCAAGAAAACCAGTTGGATAGACAATATAACATGACTGATGATATAGTGCCAGATGTTGGGACTCTCAGGTTGATAGCATTTAACATGCTATTGAGGAAGAGCTCAGGAGCTTTCAGAACACTAATGGTGTTTATGATGTGGCTAGATTAAAACCTTGAGGATGTCTAATTGCTGATGTTGCTATGCAGGAAAAGAAAACTGAAGCTGCAAAGACAGAATTATAGTGGGAACATGGAATGTAAGAAGTATGAACGTGGGAAAACTCAACATAGTGAAAGATGAAATTCATAGACTACACGTTGGCATCTTAGGCATCAGCAAACTGAAAGGGACTGGAATTGGACACTTTTAGTCAGAAGATCATAGTTTTTACTACTCAAAACTAAAAAACAAAGAAGAAACAGCATTATTTTCATAGACAGGAAGGATTATATCAATGACAGTACTTGGGTCCAATGCAGTCAATAACCAAATAATGTCAATTAAACTTTGCAGACAACCCTTCAATATGAAGATTAGATTACCCAAGTTAATGATCCAACCAGTGATGCAGAAGAAGAGGAGGCTGATGAATATTATGATTAAGTTTAATCTGCAGTCAACCAGAACATGCAAGCAAGATGTTCTGCTTATGATTGGAGTCTGGAATGCCAAAGTTTGAAGGAATAAAAGGAAGAAAATGTAGTAGGACCTGTATGGCCTAGGAAACAAAGATGAAGCAGAAGAATGAGTTACCAGTTTTGCCAATTAAATGATTTCTTCATTGCTAACACAGTCTTCAAACCACCAAAATAATGCCTATGTACATGGACATCACCAGATGGAATACACAAAAATCAAATTGACTATATTATTAGTACAATGAGGTAGAAGAGCTCAGTTATATTAGCAAAGATGTAATCGAGGCTGAGTGGGGAACAGAGCACAGACTGTTCATGTGCAAGTATCCAATCAAACTGAAGCAGAAGAACAAAGCCAGTCAATTTCCATGACATGATCTTGAGCATATACTCACCTCTAGAAAACCACAGAGATGACCTTGGAGAAAATTATGAAACTAAAAGCATGTTTTAAACCCAGGAAACAGAGAAAAGTATGAGAAAGAAATTCAGATTGGCTCCACCCAAATTCTCTGCGGTAAAGACGGAAGGAAAGGAAAACATAACCAGGCTTTCAAGATGTTATTATTATAGCCTATATCAATATACTTCCAGTCAAACAAGTGGAGCCTGTTTCCTGACTTGACCTACCTCAAAGGGATGACACTACCATTTTCTATGTCACTGATAGGAAACTAGAAGAATTGTGGAGTAAAATCAAGTTATTAAGGATGAATGTAAAAAAAAAAAACTGCCAAAGACTAAAAAACAAAAGAGAGCAAAGTGGATGTCAGAACAGATAGTGGGAATTGCCAAGAAGAGAATTCAAAGCCAAAAAAGACAAGGATCTCAGGAAAGAAATTAGCAAAGAATTTCAAAGCTCTGTTAGAAGAGATAAGAAGCAGTATTACAACTAAATCTGTGAAAACATCAAAGATGAAAACAGATATGGAAAAACAAGGAATGTCTTCCAAAAGATTTCTGAACTGAGAAGGAGGTGCCAAGCTTGAATTGGTATGCTGAAGGCTGCCAATGAATAGATGATAAGTGATTCAAAGAAGAAAGAAAGATGGAAGGAGTATCCTGAAATTCTGTACAGTAGAGATATCCACATCCAAGATATTTTAGAAGATATTCCATACTATCAAGAACCTCTAGTACCAGAAGATGAAATTAGATCAGCACTGAAGACTTCCTGGAAGCTTCAGCTGCTCCAGAATGCAGCAGCATGGGTGGTGATGGGTGTGCCTTGTTATGCTCATGTAACACCTCTCCTTCACGAGCTGCACTGGTTGACAGTTTGCTTCCAGGTGTGATTCAAAGTGCTGGTTGCTACCTATAAATCCCTACATGGGATAGGGCCTGTTTACTTGAGGGAATGCCTGTTTCTGTAGTATCTGTCTGGCTTGCTCAATCTGGCAAGGTTGGCAAGCTCTGGGTTCCATCGTTTAAACAATGCTATCCATTGGAACCCTGGAAGCTCACCTTCTGTGTAGCAGTGCCTGCCCTCTGGAATGAAGTTCCCCACAAGATTCAAATGGCTCCAACCCTACTGGTATTTCAGAGAGCCCTCAAGATGTGGCTCTTCACCCAGGCCTTTGGTGAGGATGATTGATGCTCCTTTTCTTCCTTTTCCTTGTTCCCATCTGATTTGCTTTTGCTGCCATCTTTGCTCCTTTGTTTTGTGCTGTTTATGTGTTTTTGTATTGTTCCTTGTTTTTAATTTTTTTTAACAATTTGTAAACTGCAGAGAGTTGCTGGAAGTAAATGGCATGTAATGTAGTATATTATCATCATCATATTTATTATGGTAGGAACTTTTCTGATAAGGTGCTGTTCTGATAAGAGTGTGCTTGAGGTGTCAGGTCACCTTGGTATCCTGGTATTTCCTCCGAGATAAGACGGGTCCCTCTTTATGGTTCCTTTGAAGCTAAAAGCTGCTAAGACAGCAGTCGATTGCTTATGTTCAAGGGTGCTGAACATAAATTTAAAACAACCTTGCTATTCCATTTGCTAAGCATCTATGTCAAGCAAACACAAAATTAAGTTTAAATAATAACAAATTTAGTCATCATAAAACTCCAGGCTCACAACTCACAAGGAGTCCTGCACAAATTTGCTGCCTCAGCTTACCTGCAGCAGGGAGGGTTGCTTGGTGCCGCCCCAGCACAGACTGAGCAGGACTGACAGGTACTCCCAAGGCCCTGAGCCAGTGCCATTTGCCTGGGACAGCAGGCAGGCAGGCAGGAGCCCTTTCTCAGCCTTGCAGTTGCAGCCAACCTGCTCTGGATCCCAGAGCCTTCTGGGCAAGAAGGAGCACAATGCTCCAAAAAAGTCTTAATTAATACCTCTTGAATTTCAGGCCACACGTTAATTTTATAAAAAAAACAAAAAAACAAAAAAGTCTTTAAAAATAATTAAAGTTTAAGTAAGTTCAGAATACATCCAGAGAAGCAGCAAAAAATAGGGAGAAAATGAAAGAGAGAGGGCAATCTAAATGCTTTTTGTTTAATGCTTTTCTTTCTTTCTTTGTTTTTCTTTCATTACAAATCAAATTCCCCCACCCAAGAAACTACTTTAAATGCTACAAAATATTGATTGCAATGATCAGCTGGAGCACAATGGGAGGGAATTGTGCTGCTTTGTGTATGAGGGACATGATTGTTTTATTGTTTTTATTGATTCTGTTGTGAGCTATCTAAGATTATTGTATTTAAGACAGGCAGCCATATCAGTTTAATAAATAAATACATTTGAAATTAAGCAGAAATAAAATTATAATTGCTGTTATATTTTTATTTACAATTAACACATATACTCATATTGTAGCACACAAATTTGTACTTGGTTTGGGAAAAGCTACACAAAACAATTTTTTCCACACACAGATGTCAGAAATTAGAGAGAATATTGCTTGTGATTCCTTCCAAACACACAAATCCTCCTTAATCTGCCATCACCCTGAAATCTCAGCTCTTACCATTGTAGTTCTGTAGATTTATACAAAATCCCCTTTGTTTGTCCATAAACATGCTCTTATTTTGCCTTTTAAGGGTGACTGGTTTCTTTGCACATATCTTTCTAGACACATAGTTTTCATCTGCACTGAAAGCTATGCTCTAGAAAGCCTTTACTGTCAACTTGTAAGAACTACAGCTTCATTTGAAGAATACAACAAGTAAACCATATACAAAGTCTCTGCCTCTTCCTGCTTATGACCAACATCAGAGATTAGAAAGAATCAGGATGTCAGGCCTGCCACTGTCTCCAGAACTGTCTTCAAGAGTGAGACAAAGGCCTGCAGTGCTTCTAGCTTGTTTTCACTCTGCTTCACTAACATCTGCATTTCTGTACTTCCTGTCTCCAGCAGCAGCTCAGTTAGGAAAAGACATCCTGTGTCATCCTGTGCCCCTAGGTAGGCTTTCCATGTCTGTGAACCAGGCTTGCTCATTGCAATAGTCTGAATATGGACCACCTGCAGGGCAGCCTGCAAAGTCTCTGGCTGCATGGTTTCCTGCCAAGGAACAGCTTGCTGGCAGCCAACAGCCAGGTTTAGCCATGTCCTCTCAAACTGCTCTGCAGCCAGACAGATGCTGGACATTAAAATAAGGCTACTGGAACTGGTATTGGTATCAGGGACCTTCTCCTTTTCTAGCATCAGTGGTGCTGAAAAAGAAAGAAAAGCCGTATTATTTACTAATTATTTATTACAAACATTTGTGTATGACCAGCTCATCAGACTCACAGCAGTTTGCAGCGATAACATCTATTAAAACACAACACTGAACTTGTCCTTTTAATCTTCCCTAAAAATCCATCATACAGTAAAATCAAAATCAAGAACCAAAACACATAACCAAGCCTATCAGAATAAAGTCATACTCACAACTTTGCAAACACCCAGTACTTCAGGGGGTCGGCTATTCCATAATGTCATGGCCATGAATGAAACACATCATAAGAACATAAGCAGTGCCCTCCTGGATTGGACCCCTGCCCCATCTAGTCCAACAATCTGTTCTCACAGTAGCCAACCTACTACATAAGGAAGTCCACTAGTCTCCCAGCAGATGGCTATCATCTTTCTCTGGGCCCCCATCCCTAAATTTCATGTAGGAAGGGGAGTCTTAAGTATATCCATATGGGAAACCCTAACTATCATAAGGGCTGTCTAGTCCAAGAAGGCCTGTAACTAGTACATCAGCCAAAGCTGAGCAAAGGCTCCACTGGCCATAGCCTTGACCTGCTACTCTAGTTCAGGAGAACCCCAAGTTAAGGACCTGCTCCTTCAGAGGAAATGCAACTCTGCAGAACCAACCTTGGAACTGACATAATGCCAGATTGTTTGTATAAGAACAGTAGCTCCATCTTGCTGGGAGTCTGAGTTTGTTTTGTCAAATCCAGTCCCTCACAACCTCCAGACACTGGATAAGAATCTTTACTGCATCTCTTGAACTGGCAATGTAGAACTGGACATCATCAGCATACTGATGATATCCCGCCTCAAACTAAGAGATGAATCAGTTTCATATAGTTGTTAAATAACATGGAGGAGAGAACCGAACTCTGTGGAACCCCACATTGGAGCAATCGCTATTAACAGTATAAGCTGAAAGATGCCTAGCATGAACTTCAGAATTATAACAAACATAGTATCACCTACTAAGCAAAGAATAACTTGCCAATCAGATACCTAAAAGTAAATTTTTCAGTGATGATTCTGGCTTTTATTAAGGAAAAGTGAGCACATGAAGAATAGGAAAGTAACTAAAATCTAGGTATGTCTCTTACCTTTGTCTCTTGTTTTGGAATCATCACAGCTGGAGTCTGCACAGTGGAGATCAACAGCTCGACTCGCTGTCATAGCTGCCCATTGCTCTTTGCCATAGATGGGCACCAAGGAATTAAAGTCAGAGACCCATTCATTAATGGAACTTTCAGTCTGCTCCTCCAAAAGGCGGAGAGAACGATCAGATGTTGGGCTGCACAGAATTCCTTTTGTTTCTTCCATACCAGCTTGTAAAAGACGGTAGTAAAATAGTGCACGGTCCCGAACTGCCATGTCTTTTTCCTCCTCTGGATCAGAGACACACACATTTGGCAACAAAAAATAAGCAGCAATGGAGGTGAATATGTGTAGCTCAGGGTTGAACAGAGAACCCCAAGACTCCACAAAAAATAAGCAATCACTTAACTTGGCCTTTAGTGATGCAGTTCCAAAGTGTCCCTCCCAACCCTTCCATCACTCCCTTAGAATCTGTTAAGATATTTGACACTAGCAGTACAGATAGGATAGAAAAAATACTCATGGCAAAATGATTTGAGATTTGGCTTGGAAATCTATAGAATTTTAGACCAGGAATTTCTTTGCATATGCTTTTCAACAGTAACTATAACTCTTACTTTTCACCTAATTCATGATACAGCAACCACCACAAAGTGACAGACTTACCAATGCAATAATAAAGTAATCGCCCAAGTGTATCCTGACACTCAGCTGGACGTGCTATGAATAGCCGGGCCAAAGCAGTCAGTAGTTCCAGCTTTACAACTGAAAATGGTTCTGATTTCACATTCTCCACAAAATCTTCTAATATATAAGGGGCATTGGGAACTCTTTCTCCATGTACACCCAGCAGCCAGATTAATGCTTGCTTTCCCTAAAAAATTAAACCAGGATAGCTCACATTTAAGACCGCATTAAAACATTTGGCATTCAGAACTGTTAACAGCAATTCACATACCAAATCTACATGTTAAGGATGTTATTGGAGCAAATTGGAATGAAAAAGACATCGAAATAAATTCTGAGGGTGCTGCACCATCTGCTTGCTTCATAATTGAAATTTTAGGATCTGTTCCAATTTAATTTGGAGAATCAACATTATAAAACACTACCTGTACTTGGTCATGTGAGTTAGAACTCTAAGAATTTTAGCACACACAATCTTGAATTATTCAAGGATTAAATGTGATTGGTTTTATTTTGTCAGATTATACGATACTAGCAAAAATTTTAGTTACACTATATTCCATAATGTCCAATGCTAATTCTATACTTACTTGATTAAAAATTGGTAAGATAACAAATAAATTATATAACATTTTGCTTTCAGGAATACAACACATAGGTAAAAGGAGAGTTAGTTGATTCAAGATTCTGCGCTGCAAATGAAAAAGCAGAGGAATTCTTCATGCTATAAGAAAATAGATTAGAATAGAAATAAGAAAAAAAGATAAAATTCTTATATAGACATACCTTCAGATCATATAACTGAATGATTATATAATTGTTTATACTAATGACTCACTTATATACAATAAACATGTACTTTTTCTTCATTTCAGCTTCAACTTTTTACTTAGAATTCATCAACAGAATAGAAGACAGGCTGATACAATTATAAAATTCATTATATTACGGCTGAAGGCTGTTATATATACCAGAAATCGAGGTTTCATACAGAACTCTAGATTACAAGTTGCATTTTTCACTTCTGGAATTGGAATCAAGGGTTTTATATGATTTCAATTCAGCCATCCACCACTATCATCATCTATATTACACAAAAAGTATTTTGCATTACCTCACTATCCTGGATGGTCTCTTCACAGCCAGACAAAGACTGGGACACACACTCTATACACTGTGGGCACAACCATACTAGATCCCGGAACACCTGCACTACAGCTATCAGGAAACACATAACAAAAAATTTATACCACTTTTTGGTCCAAATGATAACATCTTAATATAGTCAAAACCCAAGAGCAGTAAGATTCAGAATAAAAAATAGTTAAAACAGAAACTGCAGCTAATAAGATTAATATACACTAAAATTCTAGCAAAATGTATTTTCACCATTTGCCTAAAATACTATAAAGAAGCTGTTGGACCTCCCTTGGAAGGAAGACCCACGATTAGGGTGCTGCCACTAAAAAGGCCTTGTCTGTTTCCCTGACCATCATGGAATGCAAAGCCGGGCATGAGGAGATGGTACAGCTGATAGAGAGGACCATGCACAAAGAAAAAGGACTTCAAATACTCTGATTTTAAATTACATGGAGAATTTAAGTGTAAGTGACAGTAATATCCTGAATTGCTTTCAGAAGCAAAGTGGAAGCCCATGGTATTTTAAAAAAGCACAGAAAAGAAAGGTTACACTGGCCACATCATTCTCCAGCACCTCTAGTTAAGAACACTTTTCTAGGCAGCCTGATAGAAAACACAAAGCAGGAATCTAATCTCGATGGGACTAAGGCATATGACATGTAGCCAGATCTGCTTTCTCCAAGAATGGACACAGCTGGTACCAGCTACAGCAGGTAAAATACTCTTAGCACTGAGCAGTCAACTGTTATTGGGCCATCCAGGAACTATGACAAATCGAGGAGCACTCCCAAAGTACAAACCTGGCCTCTGAAAGATGCAAATCCTTCCAGAATAGATTGTCTTTCCCATTCTGGAACTCTATTTCTACTGACCAATAGTATTTCTACCTTCTCTTGATTAAGTCTCACCAATTCTGAGTTCTCAGGGGAAAAAAAAAATAGTTGTCCAAGTGATTGAAGTCACTTTGTAAGATCTCAAAGCATCCGAGGTTAAAAAGTGAATGCCCTGTGGATTAGCATCCCACATGATTTAGGACAGTGTCTCAAGCAAGGAAATGAAAGCTTATGTCATCTAAATATAGCAATAACTATGGATGTGTGCTCTTCAGACTCAAAGCCAAAAAGATGATTTGGAACAGCTGTGAGTTTGCATGCCACACCTGTTGAAGTTCCTTAAAGTTGCATGTTTTTCTGGACTCATATGGAAACCATGCAATCCCAGGAAAATATATGTTTGAATTAAGGAAGTAAGTGACAAGAGTGTGCCCACACCCATTGGAAAGCACCCTATTGTACTTTGTTAGTACCTCCTTAATGCAAATATATATTTTCCTGGCTTCCCTGAGTCAGGAAAATATGCAGCTTCTTTAAGGAGGCACCAACTCTTGGAATGCATCTCCCCATGCCCACTTTGAAGCAACCTTGTGATTTCTTCTAAATTTAGAAGAAACTATGTCACATCTGACCAAATAACCTGAATTTTGCCACAGTGTAAATCAAATGTTAATCAGAAAGTCTGGAGTAATACCTGATGTTATATGTTCTTGCTTCAGCTCAAGGAGTTCTGTTAGAATCCTCACACATTGCTCTGAATAGGTTCTTGCAATGTTTCCTGAAAAAAATCACATATGACCCAAAGTTTTGAAGGTTGCTCAATAATTCCTTAACCCAGAAACAGCCAGCAACACACCCTGATATTTCTGATAATATCTCTCAGTACAGAAATGTAACAACCTAATCATATGCAAAATAAGACAGAATGGAACAGTATTGGGAACAGTGATAATATAGATAAGACAGTTCTAGGCAGGTTATTGGACCACTTAAGGAAGAGAACATGAATATTTTCCATAACCTAAACAATAGTACAGCAGTATGATAATCAACCAAGAAACACATTCAATATAATTGAGTGGCATAAAGTGAAATTCTCACTGAGACATTAGATTTACATCCCTCCTTTAGTTTTTACAACTCAATGCGGCATACATAATGTTCCCTCCTCCTGTTTTCCCTACAACAACAATCCTGTGAGGTGGATTGGGCTGAGAGAACAACTGGCCCAAAATCACACAGCCAGTTTCCCTGCCTAAGGAAAGACTAGAACTTATGGTTTCCCAGTTTCTAGTCTAGCACCTTAACCACTACATCAAACTGAAATATTTGTACTGGTGATAGGTCAATTACATGCCTCTTGATAAACATTCTGCGACTAATTGTTTTCTAAAGTTTCTTAAATTTTTGATTAATTTGATATTAAATAAAGACTAAAGCTGTCAACCTATACCCATAGAATGCAGTGGAATTTACTTTTGAGCAAACGTACTTTCCTGGAGATTGTGAGCGCAGTAGCTTGTGTTTTCAGAAATATCTAAGATGGCAGGGGCCACAGCAAATATTTTCAAAAGACCGGCCTAATTTTGAATTGCTTCGTTTTCCAGTTTGACCATACTTTGCTTCTGACTTTGAAGCCTACCTTTTGTTCTAGAGCAGATTGTCCTATCTATACCTGTAAGGACAATCATACTTTTTCCTATCCAAAAGAAACACTAGCAAATACAGAATTTGCCATATAATTGGAGGGGGAGGGGTACTGTATCCTTTACACAAACATTACAACTTTGGTCTATATCAGTGTTGTCCAAACTTGGCCACTTTAAGATGAGTGGACTTCAACTCCCAGAATTCCCCAGCCAGCCATGGTCTACATTTATTTGCCTGCTGGAGGTCTTTCATCAGAATCCTATTAGTCCACTTACCTATGGCAAATATTGCTCCCCGGGCGAGCTCTGTTGATACATCAGTACAGTAATCTCTCAGCTCCTCCAATATATGCTGCACATTCTCATCATTCACCAACTTGCACAGCACCTCCATTTTCTGGCACTTGATATAATGTGGTTCCGAGTAAGAACAGAAGAACTTCTTATATTGGCTACTGAAATGGCCAGGAAGGCTGTCTATTATCTGGCGCACATGACACAAAGCAGTGAAACAGAGTTCTCTACTTCCAGAGGTGCATGCTGTTAGGAGTGGACCTTTTACTCTTACAAGCACATCTGCCTGGACATGTGGGAAGTCTCTAGCCAGTACCAAGAAGAGTTTTGTGGCAGCCATCACTACACTGGAACTGCTACTTTTAAGGTATCCATCCAGTAAATTAAGGATATCAAAAAGCTCTTCTTCACTGCGGGGCTTGTATCGCAGCAGAAAGGTCAACACCTCACTCTGCCCCCATTGATCTAGATCTGGCATCCTGCAAAGAGGGGAAAACAAAAACAAATGGTGATGCAATGAAACTATAGCTTAGCTCTCCCAAACTGCAGGCCACTTGTTTCAATTTTTTCATCAGTATTAAACTTAAATATAAGTTTAAGATGTAAGTAAGATGAGATGGAGGGACCTGACCAAACTCTACTAAACTATATATTTTAAATTTAAATTTGTACTTAGTCCTTGACCCACAGACATAAAATATCTTTCAAAATTTAAAAGAGAAATACAAATATATATTTGATAGACAGATAATCAATTGTCTGAAACTCATCCAGGATCACCTCACATTATTTTAGAGTAGTACCCAATGTCACCTTTCACAGATGTATTCAGAGAGCAAAATTCTAGAACTGAACAATGAAAGCGTATACTTGCACAGATTCACGTTTGTGTGAAGTGAAATGAAATGAAATGAAATGAAATGAAAGAACCTGAAACTAAAAATATACTAGCTAACTTCATTCAAAATCTTTGTTTCATCAAAATGTTAATATAATGCATTATTTCCTTATAAAGCAAGCTGCAGGCTTTTCATTATCAGCACAGTAATCACAGTTCTTCATGGGAGAGAGGGGCCCAAAGAAAATACTAACCCCCAATATTAGGAACACCGTTCACAGGAAAAACAGAATTGTTCTAGAAGCATTCTACATCAGGCAGTCAATGGCATCTTAAAATTACAGAAAGATCCATAAGGTTTAAAATTTTGCTTTTTTACCAACTCATCTCTAAATATTCATGTTTACTCATATCACACACACACACAAACAAAATTCAATGTCAGAGGCATTCAATGTTGAGAGCCGGTTTGGTGTAGTAGTTAAGGTGCTGGTCTAGAAACCAGGAAACTCAGTTCTAGGCCTCCCTTAAGTATGAAAGTGGCTGGGTAAGTTTGGGCCAGTTGCTGTCTCTCAGCCCACCCCACCCCCCAGGGTTATTGTTGTGGGGAAAATGGGAGGCAGGAGTATGAGGTACGTTCACCGCTTTGAGTTTTTTATATATTTTTATACCTGCATACATACATACATATAAAAGAAAGATGGGATAAAATATATTAATAATAACAAAAATAATGTCATATTTGCTATAGCCCCATAAAATCAGATGAGCAATCATATATTATCTATGGGCACTGGGTTTATAAGCTAATTATTTTATTTAAACTGTATATAATTGCAAAGGGTTTTTTTTTTACATTCATTTAATACTCACAGGCCTTAAAGCCAGAAGCAGGAAACAACTGCTCTGCAGAACAAGCAATGATTTCTGCTGCCATCATGTAAAAATGAAAGACCTTGGACAGTATTATGGCATATCAACTGACGGTCTTTTCAATGGTGGATTCCAGACTTGGGAATTCCCTGCCAAAGGAAGTTCCCTCCTTGTTGCCTAGATGCCAATAAGTTATGATATTTCTGTTCAATCAGTTGTCTACCATCTAAGCTGGTTTGTGAATCTCTCAAAGTAGGACTTCACTGATTGGTTATTCTTGTCTTCTCCCACAAATGTGTTTTTGATGATTCATAGTGTATTTTAATTATATACCTGTTTTCATTTTTATATTATTACTGTTAGCTCCCATGATTGCCTTTTTTGGCAGAAAGGCAGGTTATAAATTCAATAAATTAACAAAGAAAGAAAATATTAGCATTAATTTGACAAGCATCTGGTTTTCACAATTCAAAACGAAAAGGACAGTGGAGAATGATACCTCTTGTTCACCCAAGCATTTTGGGGGGAATGTACCTGTTAAGAAGATGGTGGGCAATGGGTTTGTTGATGACAACTCCTCCTTCACGTGCCAGAATTTCCTCAAGAGCCCTCAGACAATTTACCACCACAATAGGATCCTGATCCCGAAGCAAACTATATAACTCATTAACTAGTGCACCATCTGCAGAAAGCGTGTTAGAAAGGAAGTCAGAAATATTTCATCTTTCATCTTCTTTGTGACGTTGCTTTTGACCATGTGTATACAAACACAAACAATTATCATCTAATGAAAACAATCCAAATGGCCCCCACTTTGTTGTCGTTTAGAAGAGCCATGAAGACCTGGCTCTTCACCCAGGCCTTTGGCAGGGGAGAGTGAAACCCCTTGCTTCATTGCGTTTGCCATCTTTTCATTTATCATGTTTTACTGATTTTATTGTAATTTCTTTGATTGTTGTGAGCAACCCAGAGTTGCTGAGAGTTGGGCATACAAGTTTAAATAATAATAATAATAATTTTATATATATACATATATAT